TGTGCCCCCTCCCAGCTTCTTGTGCACCTCCAGCCTTCTCAGTCGGTAGAGCATGGGAAGCTGAAAAGTCCTTGACTAGTGTAAGCACTGCTCAGCAACAACTAAAACATCGGTGTGTTATCATCTTGTCCTAAACCCAAAACACAGCACTGTACCAGCTACAAAGAAGGAAATTAACTCTATCCCTGCCGAAACCAGGACACCTCTCATCTTCCATTTGTAGGAAAGGGTCCTGAGAATTCAGTTTTAATTTAGCTTCCTTCATTTTAAATCCTTATCAAACAAATGTTAGAGCTGAGAATAAAAAGGCAACAGCTGGTAATGTTTGTTAATTAATTACGGTTAAGGTCTGTCCGTTTATCTAAAATTGGTTTTGCCGTCATAGGGCTATAGAGAATGGAGCAGGTTGTGATTAGATGTTTTGCTGGGAAAAAGGGGAGAGTTTACTAGAAGTCACCTGAGAGTAAAAGTCTTTGTAAGAACTGAGGGGCTTTTAAACAGTGGTGAAACTTGTTCAGTCTTACCCACACTGCTTTTCTGAAATAATCTGCATCTGTTTATAAAAGGCAAATACAGTGGTTTAGATATACGATGTCTTGACTCATTTAAGACAAACAGTAAGAGCATTCACATGTCCTGATATATGGGTGGTGCTGATGGGCTTCTCTCACCCACCTCTGTGCCGTTGCATAGATGGGAGTTGCAGTTTTCTCTAGAGGAACAGTCTAAAATATTTTATTAATATGTTTATACACGTGACAACATTTGTGAAAGGGGCTGTATTTTTTATTAGAATAATTAATAAACATTTAAAGTTTGATCAGATTTTTGACCATGTAAGACCATCTTTCAACACAAAGAAGACTCAACCTGCCTGTCTGAAAGCTGGTGGATTTTCAAGGAATTTAATAATTGGTCTAAGAAACGTACTACCTCTGCAGTTAGACCTCACTTATTTTCTTAGGTCGTGACAGATACAAAATAGCTTGAGTGCAATTTGCTTCCTGGCTTTCTCCAGGGAGTGTGAGGGGGGAGGACGGTGGGTGTGGAGTGTGAGGGGAGATGGCGGGAGTGCCGTGGGTGCTGGGTGTGACGGAGATGGCAGGCGGAGGGGCGGCCGCGCTGCCCGCCCCACACGAGCGCTCCCGTCGCTGCCTCCAGGGAGTGCGGTGCCGCCGCCCGCCGCCGTTCCCGAGTGAGCCGGGTAAACGGCCGCGGCGGCCCCGTGTCGCCATGGTGTGGCAGCTGAGGCCCGTCTACGAGGGGAGGTTCACCGACAGGTTTCCCGAGCCGCCGGCCGTGACTGTCTTCGCCGAGGGATTTCCCTGTTGCCGCGGAAGCTGCCCGCCCCCTCGCTGCGCCTTTCGGGGGCCGGGGTCTCGCCGTGGGCTGACGGAAGAGGCTGGAGGAGGGGCAGCGTGTGGGGCAGGCAGGCGCATCTCGCTGCGTTCCCCCTCTCTCCCCCCGAAAATGCGTGTTGCTCCTTTTTTTCCCCCTTTTATCAAAACGGGGACAATTAGACAACATCTCGTGCAAGGTGTCAGGTCCCAATTTGACTAGTTGTGCTTATTAGTACAGTGGGTTCGGTTATGCCTTATTTTTTGATTGCACTGTTTAGGCTGGAAAGTTGCTTCCCACTGGCGATACAGCTGCAAGTTGCCTCACTGAGGTTTTACCCAGGGTGAGTTGGTTTTTCAGAAGCCCCTTGTGAAACTTTTGTAATAATTTCCCATTAGTGACTCTGCTTTGAGACAGGCCCTAAAAAAAAAAGAAAATCAGTGAAACCTTGGTCATTTTTTCTACATCCTGTCTTATTAGAAACTACTATTTTTTTTCTGATGTTAGTTTTTGTCACATGGGATCATAGAGAATAGCTGGTAAGATTGTAAAACGTCTGGCAGTTCTTTTTCACTCTGTATGTTTTACAAAATTCTCCATGCCTGCTTAGAGGGGACTACTTAGAATTGTTTTAGACAGTTTTTCTCTGGTAATACAATTATAGTGATTATTATTAGAAAATATTATTTCTTCTGATGGAGGTCATTCTTCTTTATCAAGGATGCCCCTCAGAATTTTGCTTCCCACTGGCCTTTCCCCATGCCCCTGAAGAGTCAGAGGGTACTGAGACACAAACAGATCCCTTAAATAGCAGCTTTTCCTTTAAATGGGTAATTAAAAAAACCCCAAAACTGTAGTTAAAATAATTTCTGAAATTGCTTCATTGATGGTGGAATTGTGAATCAGGTTAAAGGTTTCTGAAGTTGATAAATGTAATATCTCCTTTTCATGAAGTATACGTGAAGAAGCTGTTATCCGTCTTAAAGATGGAACCAGATAGTTGAAACGTAGCAACTCTCTCGTTGCTGGTTGGATAAAATTTAGGCTGGGCTATGTTGACCTTATGCTCAGAGTATCAGCATCTGCAGGAGCGTATGCATGTGTTACAGCCCTAAAACATCTTAATGTTTTGTTCTTACCTCTGTGGAATCACACTGAAATGGCTGCAGTACATTTCCTTTTCGTTAATATTTTGTGAATATCTGGTGTAAAATTGTTTTTGCTTTGTCTTATATATAGCCTATTACTCCAACCACTGTGCGAAAGTTTTGAAATACAACAATCCAGCTCCTGGTGTTGAAAGAATATTCTACAGCAGAGCAGATGATCCTGACATTGCAGCTCACTTGACACATGGCATAGTCAGGTTCTTCACTCAGTGTAGGAATGTGACCCGTTTACTTTTGTTTAAGAATGGACAACTTAAGAATGTCCTTACTAAGAGAGCAACTGGTTTCTTCATAGACAGGGATAAAGGTACATAGCTGAGTGAGTTACACTGCAGCATTTCACCGCTGTTGTGGATTATCTGAATTCTGAAGTCAATTCATAGGACTTAATTAGCATGGTTCAAATAGGGAAGCACTTGAAGTTCAGTGACTTTTATCTTACCAGTGACTTAACTTCTGCAATGACTACTGAATTATTCATTTCATTTCAACATTTCAGTTAATGAACAGTCTTCTACCCACAAATTTTGCTGCTTTCTTCTTTACTGATTACAGCAGTAAAACCTATTGTTTTGACTGTTCCAGATCTGTCTTTGTAGATTTCCCTGGAGAACTGTTCAGGTAGCTGACAACTTACCTTCCTTTTCCCAGCTATTCTAATAGGTCTAATAAAAGATACTACCTTGACCTGTGAATCTTTCCTCCACAGACTGGAGCAAATCACTTATGTGTTTACCATTTAGCTCTCTTGCAACAGTTATGTTCATCTTGGTTTCTGTGATTTTTTTTTCCCTAATCCCATGTCGTTATGCTGGAAGGTTCCTATAGATTGACTAGAAATGTGGTAAGAAGTATCGTTCTTCCATAGTATTAATATCTTCTCTAACAAGATACTGCTTAAGAATCAACTGAACAAAACACCCATCCCCCTTACCTCCCCAAACATATATTGATTCCTTACTTTCCAGATGTATCAGCTGGAGAGCTTATAAATCCACCAAAAACTTTTGAGGAAGTGGATAAAGAATCCAGAGAAGAACATGTTCTGTACATTGTGTCACACAATGATTATTATGTGGGTAAGTTCAAAGGCTGATAAGAAACCGCATAAAACCTTCTAATATAAATAAAGGTAATTGTTCCTCTTTGTGTCTTCAACACATATTGTACACTATTTTTTGAGATGTAAACTATTACTTTTTCCTACTCTATTAACATAATAGAAATTCTTTTTAAAAGTAATGATGTGAAAAAATACTTATATTCAACTGAGAGAGCATGACGTTTTTAGAACTGTAGATCACTTTGTGTTTGGTGTATTAGACAGTGTAAGAACTTAATGAAGGAGTTGGAAGCCTGGTTTCTGTTGGGTGCTATTTGAAAAGCAAAGTATTTCCAAGAAACTAGAAACTCATAGATGCCCTGGTTGCTTATTGAGTTTGGCATTGTTTATGCCATTGAGAGCAATCTCAAGCTTAAAGCCACAGACTGTGAGCCCAACCCATTCCAGTACTTTCACTTCTGGTTCCTCTCTTTTATCAGGATCCAAACAGAATTTCAGGGCATCTAGACTTTCTGATGGGAAGCTCAGCATCAGGCTCTGGTTACAAGGAGTTTCAGGCTGCTGACTGGCTCTCTGGAATGGAGGTTCCTCAGCCTACAGCATCCTGCCTGTGAGTCTGTCCCACAGCCTCTGTCTTTGCCCTTCCAGTGGGCTGTCCCTCCAGTGCTTCAGCCTCTGGGGGCTGTACTTGCGTGAAGTGGTCTGCTCAGGGATGGTTACCCTTTATCTCATAGGTCTGCACGGGAACGGAGTGACAAATAGCACTCTGAAATGCAGTACATGTATTGCTTTTGCAGCCATTTCTATTTTTCCCAGTTCCATCATTTCCACAGGCTGAGAGACTTACACTGATGCTCTATAAGATTAGGATTATAATAAAATTGCCCATTGCACTAGCACCAACAGTTTTGTAGGTGTAGGCCAAACATGTAAGAAACTGCAATACTGATATTTTAGCTGTAATAATGTAAATTTTACATGGAGGCAGTTACGTAGAAGTGAAATTATAGTACTGTGTTCTCTCATTGAGAAATTCTACTATAAGTAGATTTTTGGTATAAATTGGCCAAACTTGTAGTTTTATTTCCCCTCTTCCCCACCTTTATTAGGTGTTTTAGTGGAATTACTCATTATCTGTTTCTGTCTCCTTTGTAACTTCCATCCACAAGATCATGGAGAGGCCAAGCCAAAAACAGACAGACAGCAAAAAAAAGAGACAACTATGTGCCCCAGTTTTGAACAACAGCAGAACAATTCCATGCTGCCATACAGTCAGAGGAAGCCCTTATTAGAAAGCATGCAGTGAGTAATATTTTTTGAAAGTTCTAATTGCCATTATTTTCGAAAGGTGATTGAAAAGAGCTTGAAGAAACAGAATGGCATTGTTTTCTGTGACAAGAAACGTGCTTGCAGCTCACTTACATAGCGTACTTATGTGATATTCTTGTATGTGAAACTTCATTTTATTGGCAAGACTGGATTAATAGATTCATGAACAAGTAGGGTAATATCTTGTTTACAGTGAAGTCAGTGGCAAAATTTCCATTAAAGTCAATATAGCAAGAGTATATCTGTGTCCTGGTTTCGGCTGGGACAGAGTTAATTTTCTCCTGTTCTTATAAACTGTTCTTATCTCAACCCACGAGTTTTCTCACTTTTCCAATTCTCTCCCCCATCCCACTGCGGGGGGGAGAGTGAGCGAGCGGCTGTGTGGTGCTCAGTTGCCAGCTGGGGTTAAACCACGACAGTCCTTTTGACTGGAGCCTCTGGCAGAAAGCATGGAGATGGTATGTGGTGTTGGATTGTTTCATGTTGAAGTCAGTTCTGGTTCCATCATCACTGTGCTTTGCTTGGTTTCATCGAAGTTCATTCTTCATGAATCTGTGTGATTCTTATTGTAATACCATTGATATAGCATATAATATTATGTAGCAATTAACATCATACAGTTCAAATCATTGGCTATTCTCACCCAAAATCAAATCCCCCTGAGGTACACATCGGACTTCCCCATCCTCCCACATCACCCACCAAGTGCACCCAGGTCCTTGAGCAAAAGCAATCCCACGAATGGGTTTGCCTTTGTGCGAGGCAGGAGTAACCCAGACTGTCTTCCCCAGCGTATTTTTTATGTGCACTACAGGGACTTTATTCCCATCTACAGTATGTAAAAGTTCTGACTGGGCAGGGCCAGCTCGATTGGCAGATCCCCTAGCGTTGACTAACCAGGTGGCCTTTGCTAAATGTGTGTCCCAATGTTTGAACGTCCCACCACCCATTGC